GGATACTTTTGTGTACATGGAACCGTGTGGTGGCAGGTGGGGTGCTGGGCAGCACATAGTAAAGCAGATGTACGTAGAAGACGGTATCTATATACCACATTAAAGTTTGCAAAACTATTTTATATAGCTCTGTCTTAATAAAGCTACAATCTGTCAACTGTTTCAGCTCAGAAAATGCAGACATGCAGAAAATGCAAAAAACACAGTTCTGTTTTTTTTTTTAAAAACGCTGCCTCTGGTGCTTCGTTTCATGTAGTGCTCTGCTCTGTCTCCTACCCCACCCAGCTTTTCATAAGCCTGACTTTTGGGGGCCTTGGTGTACTGGAAAAATCAAATCCTGGAGCTGTGTAACCATGAGCAAATGTTTTAACCTCTCTGAGCTTCTTCATCTTCAAGATGTAGATACCAGACTCCTTTCTGCACAGCTATGTGGGAAACTGAGTGGAGAGGACTTGTGGGCCTGGCCATGACCCTGGGGCTGTTTTTGCCAGTGGCTTCTTCTCCTTCCATTTATCAGTGTCTGCAATCTTGCCTCAGGATTTTCTCCAGGCAGCTGTAGGCTGCTCTGCCTTAAAGGGAAGGGTGGGAAATGAATGCTCCTGGGAGCAGCCTCAGCCAATAACTGATGTAAGTTGATAGACACCTGCCTCAACTCCTTTGCCTTCTGTTCTGCACCAGCTCGCAGCGATGCCTACTAGCCTGGGCTCCAGGTGCCCACAGTGGTGACTTACCCGACAACACACCTTCTCTTGACCACCTTCTCTTCCTTGCCTCTTCTTCCCACTCCACCACTTGTATTTCTCAGCGTCTTAGCCCAAGTAAACTATTTCCACGCACAACCTTCTCTTGGAGTCTGTGTCTCAGTCCCTTTATGTTGCTGTAACAAAGCAACACAGCCTGGGTGACATACACAATAGAAATTTATTTTTCACTGTTCTGGAGGCCAGAATATGGACATCAGGGGTCAGGGAGCCAGTGTGGTCAGGTTATGCTGAGGGCTGTGTTCCTGGCTTGTGGACAGCTATCCTCTCACTGTGTGCTCACCTCACCTTTGTGTACGTGGAGAGAGAGAGAGAGAGAGAGAGAGAGAGAGAGAACACTCCCTGGTGTCTGCTGTCTGTTCTTATAAGAATACTAATCCTGGACCTCCCTGGTGGCGCAAGGAGTTAAGATGCAACCTATGAAGCTATCCACAGGCACTGCAGCACTACTTCCATCTCCGGGCGGCCAGGGAGCAACCAATATACCGCATCAGACCTCTCCTGCCTCGCCCGCTGCTCCCCTCAGCAGTCTACTTCAGTCAATTTTCCTGTTCTGGTCCCCACTTTGTCTCTAGTGAATCCTCTCACCCCTCCCCACAGCTCTGGCCTGTACCCCAGCTCTTGTGTGCATAAATAAATAAATCTCTAAAAAAAAAAGAATACTAATCCCATCGGGGGGCTCCATCATCACAACCTTTTAAGTCTCCCCTCTCCCCACCCCTGCCAAATAACATGGTATTGGGAGTTAGTGCTTCAACATGTGAATTTTGGAGTGGCACAGTGTTCAATCTATGACGGGCTGCTTCTGGGGAGACCTAAACAGAGGCAACATGATAAAGTAGGTGAGGCACCTGGTCCAACTGGGAGCTTGGCACATCTGCAGGGGACATTAGATTCTCTTCCCACCTCAGCATGGGCTGGCTTCAGTGTGGCTTCAGTGTAAGGACTGCCTGTGGTTGTGCATTAATGGGATGCCTCCTCTCCCTTTGGCATTTCTCTCACTTTCCATCAGGCTCTGCTTCTTGTCTCTGCTGTATTTTGCAGGAATCCTGAGAATAGTAGCTAGGGACAGATTCTAAGCAGCTCAGAACTTTCTTGAAGACCATTTAGAATAACAGTAGTATGGATTGAGAGCTCATAAGCTACCAGTTATGGTCTCATTGGATCCCAAAATAAATAGCCTGTGATACAGTGTTTTAGGCTATCACCCCATCATTGGGTGGTGGGATTTTGTGCAGCTGCTGTATCTGGGGAATGATCACCATATTTGTGGAGAGCTCAGAAGAAGGGGTGGGTGGGTGGGAAGGCACAGGGGAAGGTGCTGAGGAAGGATGTGGGCTTAGCCCGAGTCTAACTGGAATGGGAATCACACCCCAAGGCTGGTCCCGCCTTGAGGCTAGAGGGTTGCTGTCAGTGTCCTGGGTCAGGGATGAGATGAGACTGGGGCTGACTGAGGGCATACTCCATAAGGGGACAGCTGGGCCATTTTTTAGCCTTCACATACATGGGTACAGCTCTGCTGATAAAGGGGGTCTGGCAACCCCTTTCCAGACTGTTTCCCTCTTGTTCAGAAGAACCTGAGATTTAGCAGATTTCCATAGTTTGCCGGGGGCCATGCATTGCTAGTAAATGATTTAGTCCTGGTCCCACTGATCAGCCTGTCCTTTGAAGTGCTGCCCCGTTTTAGTGTCAGAAAGGGTCCTTTGTACTCTCAGGAGCCTCTTTTGTCCTGTTTTGCTTTTCTCTCATACCTCTGCCATCCAGGGCTTTGTGAAGACAGCAGCAAAGCATTCATGTAGCTGCAGTGGAACAGCGAATCTACCTGCCTGTTAAGATTAAAGGCATGTAAAGTCCTGCTGCACAGATTGCCACTGTCCTGTTTGTGACAGTAGAACACATGAAAGCATTCACTCCTGGGGTTACCTGCTACTGGAGGGAAAACTCAGGCAGCTCAGGTTTTAATGAGAACACTTTCCTTCCTCCAACAGAATCTTATGGAAGTTCAGAACTATGTCAACATCCTGCATCAGATTGTCCAGACCACCCCTCAAGCATTCTCAAGTGGGGTGAGGGAGGTAAAAATTGGAGTGAGGCTGCAGGGAAGGTCTGTCTGGGATATTTTTTTAATATTTTATTTTATATCATTCTTACATCATTTTTCATTTTTGCACAATGTATGCATTTTCATTTTGGTTATATTCCCCATACAATTGCACCCCCCCTTTTTTTGACCCTAGTCCTTCCTCTCCCCAACCCTCTCCCACCCCCGTAGTGTGTCTCTGGTTTATAGTTGCTTGTTGATTTTGATTTTTACTTTGTATTGATTAATCTTTTTCCTGGTCCCTTATTTAGGTTTTCTAAATTCCTGCTATGAGTGAGACCATCCGGTATTTTTCTTTTTCTTTCTGACTTATTTCACTGAGCATGCTCCCTTCTAGCTCCATCCATGTTGCTGCAAATTGCATGAGTTTATCTTTTTTGATTGCTGAGTAATATTCCATGGTGTATATATACCACATCTTCTTGATCCAGTCATCTATTTTTGGGCATTTGGGTTGTTTCCATAGCTTAGCTATTGTAAATAGTGCTGCTATAAGCATAGGGATGCAGGTGCCCTTTGGAATTAATGTTTCTGTGTCCTTTGGGTAAATACCTAGGAGTGGCATTGCTGGATCATATGGAAGCTCTATGTTTAGTAGGTCAAGAAATCTCCACACAGCTCTCCATAGTGGTTGGACCAGTCTATCTGGGATATTTTTTTAGGCTTTCACTCCCTCTGTTAATAGAGACCCAAGGAAAGGTGTCGGATGGTGCAGGGAGCCATCCCCATCTTACATTCATGCCTGAAGTATCCCCTTCTGTGCTTTTACTAAGAATGCTGGAATTTTGACATCTAAGGATCTAAACTTGCTCCTGGCCATTTTCTTATTTATTTTCTCTTGAGAACTGAGGGCTCTTTTTCCTTGCTAACTGCACGAGAAACCACCAGGTTGCCGCAGCTGTGGCTCTGTGCGGGGGTCCCCTTTGTGCGTGAGCTCCTGCTGCTGTGTGCTTGCAGCTCTGGGTGTGTGTGGGTTTTATTTTGGTTTTGCTTTTTGCTCTTCTAGTAGGTATGTCGCGTGTCTCCCTGTGGTTTTAACTCACATCCTCTTGCGAATAATGATGCTGGGTATCTTTTCATGTGCTTGTCATTCATGTATTTTCTTTGCTGAAGTATCTGCTCAAATCTTTTGCCTTTTTAAAAAACTAGGTTGTTCATTTTCCATGAATTTTGAATAGAGCGCTCCAGACAATTAGTGATTATCTTTTCAAGTTTGGGCTCTGCTAGTAATTATGTGAGTCTGTGACTTGAAAACTTTAGCTATAAGGGTATCAGGAAAGAATATTGAGATAGATTTTTAAAAAAGGGTTTAGTTGTAAAATATTATTCCCAATATAGTGTCTCAACTTGCTTTGGGTTTTCTCTCAGCTATTGACACAGCTTTTTTTTCCAGTTGGGTTTTATGAGCTTTAGTGATGCATAGCGTGATACACGTAAAGATAAAATGAAAGAATGTGGATTAAAATAAAAACACTATTGTGTCTCTTTTCCAGACATTGACGCAGGCTGTTCAACTGATAAGATTCTAGGCTTTTATTGCAAAGATGACTTATGATGGGTTTTCAACCCTGGTGGCCCTGGCAGTTGCTTGGAGGACTGCCAGGGCCTTGCCCCCCAACTCAGTCAAACAGCCTCTGGGGAAGTAGAGAAGTGGGTGCCTCAGTTGTTTTCAATGTCCCAGGGCAGCATCTGGACCAGCTGCAGAGCCAGTGGGCTAGGGTAGAAGCCTGCTGGAGCTTTTTGTCTTAGTCTTCATAAATATCAAAGCTAAAGAAATCCCCAAATTTGCTTTCTAAGACACTTTTGAACCCTGCAGATAATATCTAAGAGACAGAAAAGGTGTTTTAAATTTTAATTTTGGGGGATTATTTTTGCTCTTCCATATGTACACACTTCCCCTCACCTTCTGCCAATACCCCATAAGAGGCAGGAAAGTTACTTCTGTATTCATGGGGATATTCTTGTTCAAATTGTCTGCTAATTACCATGACAGGCTCCTGCTGTCTTTAATTTGTGTAACTGAGTTTTACAAAGGCCTGAAGTAGCTTTTCCTAAAGCCTGAATTTTTTTTGGCAGGGGGCTTGGAGATTTCTCGCTGATACCTTATTTTTATTTTGTAATCTCATCTCCCCCTCTAATCCAGAGGAGTTTTATATCAAAACACACTTTTAGAATCACGTCATAGTTTCTCCTGTAAAAGCATTCTTCTGAGTTAGAAGAACATAGAGTCTGCCAGGACCTATTTTGATATCAGCATATGTTAATGAGCCTCAGTTTTGCTGGGAGCTTGTTAGACAGACTCCAGTTCACCCCAACCCCCCGCGCCTCCCAGTCAGAACTTGCATTTCAGCAAGTCTATCCCCTGCCATCACCACCCCCGCACCCAACCAGGATTTGTGAATGTTAGAGATGGAGAAGCACAGATTATCAATACTTTTCTTTTTTCAGTCTTAGCTTAAAAATTCAACATATGAGTTAGATGTGGCTCTCAGGTTTGTCTCACTGGCTCTTGTTATCATCCTTAAAACGTGTGTAAATCATCTTTGCACAAATCAGGAGATACTGGTGCCGCGTTTCCTAGGAACGCAGGTCAACTGGGAAATATGTCAGTAGACAGAAAGTCAGTGTCTTCTAGCCAGGGGACATGCCGTGGTCGGTCAAGCTGCTTTATTACTCACTGCTGCAAGGCAGGTGGTGCCCAGAGAGCCTGAAGTCCTGCCTTCTCCGTGGTGGGGCCATGGACCTGGGCCCATGTGCTTCCCTTTTTTTTTTTAAATTTTTAAAATTTTTTTTCAATTTTATTTTTATATTCCCCATACAATTGCAACACCCTTATTTTGACCCCAATCCCTCCTTTCCTCGCCCCTCCCCCCCATATTGTGCCTCTAGTTCATAGTTGTTTGTTGATTTTGATTTTTTCTTTCTTGTAGTTATTCTTTTTCCTGGTCCCTTATTTAAGTTTTCTAGATTCCTGCTATGAGTGAGACCATCCGGTATTTTTCTTTTTCTTTCTGGCTTATTTCGCTGAGCGTGCTTCCCTTTATGCAAGTTTGTCTGACTCTAGCTGTCTATGTATCTGCGCCACTTGCAGGGTGTTTGAGAGCAGGGCACTGCCTTGAATGTATGGTCTGGAACACAGCCACCCTGGCTGTGTGCTTGGTTTTGATTTTGCCTGGCTGTGAGGCAGTGCAGCTTGAGTCAGAAGACACTAAAACCCCTTAGCAGTCAGGTTTTCAGGAAGGAATTTGGATGTTTAAAAGTAGAGAGGCTGGTTGGAGAAGGTTGGAGAAGGTTGTTCAGAATGTAAAAGGTTGAGGGAGGATCTCCTTCTAGAACATTCCATGAACTCCTTCCTTTCATTCTTTGGAGGTTGATGTTTCACAATTGGTGCAGGAAGAATGTCTTAACTCAGGGCTTGGACTGTGATGTCTACAGATAACAGAACATAGAGCCCGAGGCTAGTCTGCATTCTAAGTTTTCCTTTTTATGGAAAGGAGATTGCCTTGTCCAGAGTCTCTCAAGTGGTATGTGGCACAGCCAGGTCTAAAATGTGGGTCTCCTGACACTTGTTCTCTATGCTTTACACTCAGCATTTGAAGGCTCAGACCTTGGCGACAAAGTGAAAGGCTTCACAGTCGTTGTAGGACTGTCTTAACAATTTTCACAGAAGAGGGAGTTAAGCCACAGTCCTGCAGGTTGGAAGTTCAAGGTCAGGGTTTCATTCCTGGTGAGGACCCTCTTCCTGGCTTGTAAACCATCACCTTGCTGTATTCTCACACAGTCTTTCCTTGTGTATGTAGAAAAAGAGAGCTCTGGTGCCTCCTCCTCTTCTTATAAGGGCACTAATTCTATTGTTGGGAGCCCTGCCCTCAGGACCTGATCTAAACCTAATAATGTACCAAAAATTACACCTCCAAATATCCCAGTGGAGGGGAGGGCTTCAGTATATGACCTGGGTGTGTGGGGAGGGACACAAGCACACAAAACATAACAAATTCTCTGAATTTCCTCACATGGAAAATGCACATGAATGATGCCTTTCTTCTTTGTATAGGAGAACCTCCTGACAGAATGGGAAGCAGCTGCCCCACAGAGTCAGCTGGAGCAGAGACAAGAAGTGCTCTCTGACTTGCAGGCACAGAGAGCCGAGTTGCAGGCCCAGGTACAACTTACACCTGTGCACCACCTGTTAGGCATTCACACCATAGCATGAATCAGCTCTCACAGCACATTTTTTTATTTAAATATTTTATTGTATATAATTCTTACATCTTTTTTCATCTTTGCACAATGTACGCATTTTCATTTTGGTTATATTCCCCATACAATTGCACCTCCCTCCTTATTTTGACTCTAGTCCTTCCTTTCCCCACCCCTTTCTCCCCCACTCCTTAGTGTGTCTCTGGTTTATAGTTGCTTGTTGATATTGCTTTTTACTTTGTATTGATTAGTCTTTTTCCTGGTCCCTTATTTAGGTTTTCTAAATTCCTGCTATGAGTGAGACCATCCGGTATTTTTCTTTTTCTTTCTGACTTATTTCGCTGAGCATGATCCCTTCTAGCTCCATCCATGTTGCTGTGAACTGCATGTGTTTATCTTTTTTGAATGCTGAGTAATATTCCATGGTGTATATGTAACACATCTTCTTGATCCAGTCATCTATTTTTGGGCATTTGGGTTGTTTCCATAGCTTAGCTATTGTAAATAGTGCTCCTATAAACAGGGGTGCAGGTGCCCTTTGGAGTTACTGTTTCTGTGTCCTTTGGGTAAACACCTAGGAGTGGAATTGCTGGATCATATGGAAGCTCTATGTTTAGTAGGTCAAGAAATCTCCACACAGCTCTCCATAGTGGTTGGACCAGTTTGCACTCCCACCAACAGTGCAGGAGAGTTCCTTTTTCTCCACATCCTCGCCAACATTTGTTGTTGCTAGTTTTTTTTAATATGTGCCATTCTCACTGGTGTAAGATGGTATCTCATGGTAGTTTTGACTTGCATTTCCCTGATGACAAATGATGTTGGACATTTTTTCATATGCCTGTTGGCCATTTGCATTTCTTCTTCAGAGAAGTTTCTTTTTAGCTCTTCTTCCCATTTTTGACTGGAGTATTTTCTTTGTTTTTGTTGAGTCTCATTAGCTCTTTGTAGATTTTTGTGATCAGTCCTTTATTGTTAGTGTTCTCACAGCACATTTTGATTCAAGTGTCACATGCATGCAGAAGAGTGCATGGCTGTCTCGCTCGGGGTCCTCATAAAGCCACTGCACCTGTGTACATGTGCTCTGAACCAGAAAGAGGGCATGCTCAGTAGGGTGATAGGCTGACCTGATCTGTCTCAAAATGAGGGGCTCCTGAGGAGCAGAATTTTCATGCTGACATTGGAAAAGTCCTGGGAAGAGACAGACAGTGGGTCATGGGTTAATTTCTAGCCCCTCAGAGATGCTGTTTGAGCCCCCATTGAGTCACCACTCATCCCCCCACAAAGGCAAAGGTATCTGATTTTGCAAATTCATCCATTTGCCCAGTTTGCGCTTGTTTTTAAAAATAAGAAATGGACACATATTGAGATTTTTATCCTCTCCTAACTCTAATCTGTGCTCCCTGCTATGACCGAAAATGTCTCCTTTGGAATTTGATGATACTCTTGGGTGTTTCAATATTCGCCTCTGCTTGGAGTGTGTCAGTGGAAAGCTCACTTTTCCACTCCACCACTTTTTTTTGGTGAAGTTTCATTTGAAAATTTAACAGAAGAGCTGGGTCCTGTTTCCATGGCCCGCCTTCTTAGTTAGTGAGCTTTGAGGTTTATGCCTCTCGATTCACTTTTATTTACCATACACTTAACTGCTCATGGGAGGGGACTTAGAACACTATTGCTTCACACAGCAGTGGAACTGTTTCCCAAGTCCAAATAGAATCAACATTAGCTTTGACAAGGGCCAGAGACCCAAAACTGTAAAAGACAGAACCGTTAGAAAACCTAATTTATATGTTACACTGTCTCTATCTCTCCAATGCCACACACGTAAGCACATACTTTAAAACCATGATTAGATCTGGTGCATTTGTAGGTATTCATCACCTTCCAGATCATCCCAGGATCTCATTTTGGGAACTTAGAGTTGAAACACCCTACTTCCCATCCTATCAAACACATACAAACCTCTTACTGGGCAGCAGCTCTCAGTGGCTGCTGGAAAGCAACCCGGGTCTATTGTCTCTGGAGGTAAAAGGAGTACTGTCCTTAAAACCTGCCCTTCTCACAAGACACGTGACTCAAGACCAGATGTGTCATTTTGGTGACTTGGTAGTGTGTGGTTTCCTGGAAGGATAGATATAGTGTGTATATGTGTGTGTGCATACATGCACATGCATGCATGTACACACATTAATTTGCTTGTGTGCTTGTGTCACATGCATGTGAGATAGATGCACGTGTACCTACATGTGAGTAGGTGTGTGCAGATGCACACATGTGTTTTTTGCATTGTGTCTGTATTTTGTGTGTGTGTGAGATCAGGGAAGTGGTGGAAAATCCCAGGCATGGCCCTAGTGACCTTATGTTTTCCAAACTACCAGTTACAACTCTTTATGGGGCACTAAAATGAATTCAGCAGAATCAATTGGCATGCAAGAACTTGACAACCGTGGCCTAAGACCAGGTAAGAAATAACAGAGTGCCTGCCAAGTGAAAAAGTAAGATTTGTTTTCTGAAGCCTTTGTTTTAAATATATATGTGCGTTTAAATACACATTTATTCAAATATATGCACACACATACTTATTTGTGTGACTTATGATGTCAAATGTGTTCCCTTGTGCTTAAGGTGATAAAGTTGAAAAATTCTGTGCTAGTACTGAGAAAGATAAAAGAAACACCCTGACGTGGTAAATTTTTATTTTCTCAGAAACATGTCATCAAAAGCATAAAATAAAGTACATTTCACTAAAAGGAAGTGAAATTATATTGATACATGTTTCAAAATATTACCAAACCACATCCTGTGAGCTCATGGTTCTGTAGATTAGAAGACTGGGTGATTTGCTTGGTTTCTCTGCCTGGCTCTCACAAGCTGGCGTTAAAGTGCCGGCTGACCTGGGCCCCTTAATATGGAGGTTTGTGCAAGGATGGAAGGAACAGGCCCAAGATTGGAGCTAGTGGCTCCTCCTTTGGAGTTGAATAGACCACACTTTAAAAAAGCTCTGGGGATGGCACTTTGTACTGATGGAAGAGAAAGAACGTGCACTTCTGGTTTTCTAATTGCGTGCACTCAAGAGTTCCTCACTGAGAGTGAAAAAAAGTCATCAGTTGTAAAGTGTGAACCACTCAAGTATCCTTTCTCATTAAAGCTGCTTAGCAGCATCACCTAGTGGTAGCTTTTGGTAAGACAGAGTCTCATCAGGGAAGGCCAACCCCTCTCCCTCCAAGCCCCAGGCAAATGCTGTGTCTGTTTTCCATCGCTATGGTTTTCTATCTTCCAGATTGTCATATAAATGGAATCAGACAGTCTGTATCTTTTTCCCCTATTTCTTTCTTTAAAGTTTGCTTAAACTGGGATCCAAATGAAGTTCACACGTTGTAGTTGTTTTCTATGTCTTCTAAATCTCATTTAACCTACAGGTTCTCTTCTACCTCTTTTTTCCCTGAATGTTTTAGGAATATGCATTAATTTTTTTTCTTCTGTGGAATATGCATTTAGAATCTGGGTGCTGTGGGCACCAGCACCTCCTGTGCACATGGAGAAAGCTAAGCTGAGATGAAGGCAGCTGTGTTTACATTTTGCACTCTCTTGGCTGCCCACTTGATGTGCTGGCCTTTGTGCTCGACCTCAGTCACTCAGCATCTGGCAGTTTGGGGAACAACTCTGAAAACGAGACTGAAAAGTGGGGAGCCTGACATTGTGATTCATCCGATTCTGGATTTTTACTAGCTCTGATATTTGAGCTTCTAAAGGGTTTTTAAGTTCCTTATTTCTTGGAAGTACTTCTTGGAGTATGTGGACACTGGTTAAGAATATGAAGCTGTACTAGGAATCAGACGGTATGTCTTGGTATTTGACAGGGGACTGACTTGAGTTTAATGAGGTTTAATGAGGAGCAGAAACCTGACCAAATTAGGTTAAACAGAAAGGGCCATTTTGTTTTATTTTGAATTAATTTTAGGCTTCTGAGAAGCTGCAAAAATCACACAGAGGCTCCCCAATTACTCCACCCAATTTTCCCAAATGTTGACATCTTAATAACCACAATATGGCGATTAAAACCAGGGCCTTCACCACGCTACCATCCTAGTCGTGGGCTTGACTAAAATCTCACCAGTTACCCGACTTGTGCTCTTCTGGGCCAGGTTCTGCTTGCATGAAGTTGTCACTTCTCCTTCAACTCCTCCAGGTGGGGACAATCTCTCTCTCTCTGTCCTTATGACCTTGATGGGCAGTTATTTTATAGACTGTCCCTCCACTTGGGTTTCCCTGCTATTTTCTTAGGATTAAGTTGATGTGCTAGGTCTGTGGCAAGGACACCCCAGAAATGATGCTGTGGCTCTTGGGGCCTCTCCTCAGGGAACCCCTTGCAAGCTGACTTCGTACTGGCGATGGGACTTGGATCACTTGCTGAAGGCATGGCTCCCAGCTTTCTCCACTATCACGGTATCTTTTCTTGTTTTCCAAAGGTGCAGAATGTAAAAGGCAGTTGATGAATATTGAGAGCAGGGAGTGTGGCAGGGGCCAGGAACCAGGGTCCCGCTCACTTCCATCTCCCTTTAGTACTTTTTTTCTCTTTTAAAGGACTCTGTCTTTACCCTTTGCCTTCATTTTTCTGCCTCCTAAACAATTACTTGCTTCATACACATTGTGAAAGATTGCTGCTACAAAATGGGGGCCGAGTTTATATGCCCACAAGTTTACATCAACTTGCCACCAACTCACCTCTATTTCTGAGACCCCTCTCCATATTCCCAGGAGAGGAAGCATGTGATAGGCCAGGCTGAGTCAGGCCTGACCCTGGAGCTATAGCTGCAGTCAGAGGGGAGGGGGCCACACTGCTGCGGGCCCCGCCCTAGGGGTGAGATCGCACAGGTACCAGACAAGGGGGTGATGTGGACTGGCAGATGCCTTCCCAAAATGTATTACCTGTATCCCTTCCTTTCCTCTCCCTTCCTCCTGCCCCCTACTCTCTCCCTTCTATGTTTCCTTTGACTGCTTTCCCTCCCTTCCTTCATGACAGAGACATTCCTGAAAACCTTTGTACAGTAAGTTTTCAAATGTCATCGCTTAGGGAATGTCACTTTCTAAGGCCATATCTGTATATAAAGTGAAGACCAGGTTATCATTGAAATAGTTGTCCTCTAGATTGTCGCATATGCACATTTCTGCCTTGTAGCAGACATAGGGCAAGTTGACTTCGGACACCTGTCTAGTGCTCGTGACTCAGATGTGGTCCGGGAGACCAGCTCCATCAGCATCACATGCGCGCTGGTTAGAAGTGCAGAACCTTCGACCTCACCCCAGACCTGAGTCAGAATCTGCACCTTAACAACATCTGCATGTGCTCCCAAGGCACATGGAAGTGTGAGAACTGCTGATCTAGGTAGAAATGCTGTTTACTAATTTGTTTTATTTTGTGTTTTGAAGACCGACCCAGGATGCAAGTTAGATTCTTAGCTGGGAAGGTGAGATTGTCAGAGCCTCGTCTACTAATACTAAGCTTGTGAAAAAGTCTGTGTATGGGTCTCTGGATTATCAGTAGCTTTCCAGCAAATATAACACCGCCGCTTTCTATTTTTACCTTTTTATTTATTTATTTATTTTAAAAAGATTTATTTATTTATGCAAACAAGAGCTGGGGTACAGGCCAGAGATGCAGGAGGTGAGAGGATTCACCAGAGACAGAGCAGGAAACAGAACAGGCAGATTGACTGAAACACACTGCTGAGGGGAGCAGCGGGTGAGACAGGAGAGGTCTGCCAGGCCATGTGGGTTGCTCCCTGGCTGGCCGGGGATGGAACTCACGCTGCAGTGGCTGCGGATTGCCCATAGTGCGGTGCTTAATCCCTACACCACCAGGGATGCCCCTACTTCTTTTTTTTTTTTTAATGTGGCATTATTACTGCTGCTACTTCCGTGATTTGTTTCACCTGCTTGGGTCCTTAACGTGTCTGTCTACATTGTCTGGTCTGTCATTTCATGATGGAAATGTAACTTGAACTTCACCCATTTTATGAGAGCTGGGAAATATCCCTGTCTATCATCTCTCACCTATGTCTATTTTTACCTTTTTCCTATTTTTCTATTTTTACTTTAAGTTTTACTTGCTTTGATTTAATATATGGTAGGAACCAGGAACCAAGATCTGTGCAGCTTCCCTAAAGCTAATTTATTTATATACAAGTGCATGCGTGCACACACACACACACACACACACATTTAACTACCAAAAAATATGTTGCACAACTGATCAAAAATGAAGAGAAAATGAAAGCACCATAGCGATTGAAAAAGAACAAGAAAAGTTTTTAAATCCTTTCCTTATTTATAAACTATATTTAAAAATAAATTTATAAAAAATTTTATGAACAGCTACCGAGTATGTGTTTTTTTCACAATCAGATTTATGCTAATTCATTAAAGTGAAGAGTGCACTTTATTTTGAATTATATGTATTATACATGCAAATTCAGGGGCTGCTAATGCTGAGTTTGGAGGAGCTCAGTTTTCACATTCCTCTTTGGCTCAAGGATTCCGAAGTGATTCATTGCTGACAGAGAAACTGACAGAAACAAATGAGCAAAACAAATCTTGACACACCCAATCCTAGTTCTCCCTGCCAAGTCTATGTCTTAAGGGAGGTGGGATGGATTTCCTACAAGTGTGTCTTTGCCCACAGACAGCAACTCTGGAACAAACTGTTAAAGATGCTCATGAGCGCTGTGATGAAGAGCTGCAGCTCTGCAAGGAACAGATCGAATCCCTGTGGAAGGAGATTAAAGAGACAGAGAGGGTCCTGGAGGAAGCTTCCTGTGACTGCCGGGAGCTGGTGGTCGACCGGCACACTCTGAAAAATGAGCTGGACCAATATCATCAGATCACTGTGAATGAAGGCAACAGGTGTGGTGGAAAGGGCACAGTGAGAGAGCGGGATGTGTCTCCATCCCAGCCATTTATTCCACAGATCTTTGTTGAGTCCTACTGTGTTCCAGCCACAGTTTTATCCAGCCAGGATGTGGCAGGAGTGAAACACAAAAATCCATGACTTTGTGGAGCTTGAATACTAGTGGGAGAGACAGATGAAGGATGAGTTTGTCACAGAGGGACATGTATGACATGTGACAAGTGCTAAGTCATAAATTCTGGCTGGGAAGATGGGAGGAAATAGTGAGGGGGCTGATGGTGGGGATGTGTGAAATTTTAAATAGCGTGATCAGAAAAGGCCTCACTGAACACGCTACTTTTTACCCCACATGCCTTGGCAACGTAGCAATATATAGGACACTCAGGAGTGTTTATGAAATGTTGCAGGCGAGATGCCTAGCACTGTTTCGGGTCTGGACAGTGTGCAGAGGTGGCAGCGTTATTACTGCTGCTACTTTTGTGATTTGTTCCACCTGCTTGGGTCATTGACATGGCTACATTATCTGGTCTCTCATTCATGATGGAAATGTAACTTGAACTTCACCCATTTTTTTTTTTTTAAAGATTTATTTATTTATTTATGCAAGCACTGGGTACAGTCAGAAGAACGGGAGGGTGAGAGAATTCACCAGAGACAGAGTGGGGAATAGAACAGGCAGACTGACAAAATACACTGCCGAGGGGAGCAGTGGGCGTGGCAGGAGAGGTCTGTTGCGCCATGTGGGACACTTGCCCGGTGACTGGGGATCGAACCGGCGCTGCAGAGGCTGTGGGCAGCTTCACAGCCCAGCACTCAACCGCTGCACCACCAGGGAAGGCCCTGAGCTTCATCCATTTTATGAGAGCAGGAAAATATCCCTGTCTATCATCTCTCTATTTTTATCTCTACATCTCCATCATCTCCATCTCTATACATCCTCTGTGTTTCCACCTCCACGTACACATATGTCTGCATTTCTCACATCTGCATGCATGTGTTCATCAGCACCTACACCTACATTATCTATGTTATTACATCTGCATCTATCATCTACACCTGTACCTACATCTTCTCTACCTATACCCACACATCTATACTTACACTTATATTGATGCTCTCCACACCTCTACCTCCATCACCTCCACCTTCTCTACATACACATCATCTACCTTTACACTGTCATGTGTTTACGGACACTCACATCTGCATCTATGTCTGTATCACCTACATGAACATCTGCACATACATTGACGTTACCTGCATCTACATCACATCTGCATCATCAACATCTCTATCCTTTATACCTACAGGTACATCACCTACATATCCTGCATCTACATTATCTACATCTGCATCATCTACATCTACACCTGTATCTGCACTTAGAATTGCATCACCTATGCCTATATCATCACTACCTACCTCTACGCTATCCATATCCATATTTACATCATCTGCAACTGCTTTCTCTGTGCCAACGTCTATATTCTTCATCACCTAATCCTACACCGACACCTGCCCCTCATCTTTACCGGCATCATCTGTAGCTACATCACCTGCATGTGTCTGTACATTTATATCATCTACATGTGCACCTACATCATGTCCTTGTACATTTATGCCTAAATCTACATGACCTATATCCATACCTTCTTCTACAGTGTCTATAACTACAACTATGTAGTGTCCTAATCTATATTTATATCTGTAGATATCATTTAAGAGAACAGATTGGTGTCAGCCACTCACATAAGCACTTTGATTCTCTATTAGCTTGTGATTCTTTGAGTCAATCTTGCTGATTTTTTGGGTTTGGAATGACTTAAGAGAGAAACAGCTAGAGGTGCTCACGAGGAAGAGTTCTTTCCTTTTCTTGGGGTGCTCTGTCTTGGCTGCAAGCGCCTGAATGTTTACCAGGAAAAGCAAGATTTTCTTTTTCCTTCTCCAAATACGGTCAATGTATTGTGCAGACTTCCAAGTTACATTTACACCACAGTGAACACTTAATACATATTTAAGAGAATAGGTCTTGGGTTCACATTTAAATGTCTGTGAAATTTTTGTTTTGGAAACAAAGAGGTAACTGGATACCCCTATTATTGTTTTGTTCATAACTTCCAATTTTGACATAATTTCAAATTGACAGAAATGTAAGCATAGAGGAGGGAATACCTGAATATTTTTTACTTAGATTCACTAGTAGTTTACATTTTGTCTCATTTGCTTTATGTCTTTTTCCTTTTTGTATTTAATGTATTTAACTTTTAAAAAGCAAGTTGGAGATAACATACCCTGGCTGTCCTAAATGCTTCAGTCTGAACACCCCACTATTTTATTAGAAAAACAGAAAGAAAACAAAAGCCCTCTTCAACAGAGAAGTGGCATTTTTAGATTATATTGATAAATAATCCCACTTTTCAATTTTTCTATAGGTGTGTTTCACAATTCATGAGTTGAGTTCAAAGAAATAATTATTTCCTTTATTTCCTGCCCAGTGTATAAATATATATGTGGTTATCTGTTTAAAATTACATATAATTCATGAGTAGTTTGGTCTGGGGAAAGTATTTTCTAATTTCACCCACTAGAGAGTCGCTTTTGCCCCCAAGTATCTACTTGACTAGATGAGTTAAAAATGATGAACACCCTCTTTCTCATTCTCCCTGTCAGGCTGAGCTCTGCTTTCACTGAAACTCCCCTCACCCTGTTCACCCCAAGCCATGGAGCCTCTCTTTGCCCTCAACCTATGAGGAAAGGTAATGCTTCCAAACTTGCCTTCTGCTTTCTTCTTTCCTGTTGATAAAAACAATCAAGTGACTTCCTTCATGAATCTACCATCCACCCTTCCTTCTGATCTAGCTGGAAAGTAAATGCTTTTATGTGAGGTCTCCCTCTCTCCCTCCTGAGGCTCCTGCAGGTGCTAAGTGACTGCCTCAAAAGATTTACAAGGAGAAATGTTAGGTCAAGTAGAGGTCACCTTGGGAGAGCCAGCCCTGAACTTGAACCATTTAATTGGGCAAGAAGTGCATACTGGATCGTCCCCCACCTCCCTCCCCATGCATGAAATGTTCTACATAAAGGTACTTCATAGGGTATTCAGCACAGAGTAGATGCTCAGTTATTATTTTCTCTCTCTTACACAAGAGAGAGAAATAGCATGATTGGCCAGCGAGGCCTCTGCTTTAACATTTGGTCTTGGGATGGTATCCTGCACCTGCGTAGCTAAATCTAGTCCTGAGTGAAGTGCCTTTTGGAAGAAGAGAAGATGGCACTGTTACAGGGCAGCCCCCATATAATAAAACGGGTTGCCTGACTGTGGGTCGTCACCCGCACACTTAAAAGGGACTTAATACTCTGCTGCAGGCACACACAAAAGGTCAACAAAAGATTTATTCACAAGGGAAGGGCAAATGAGGAAATGTACAACTCAGGGAGAAAAGTGGGAGACAAAGTTTTAAATGTGTCCTACCCGATCCGATCCGCCAATCTGGAATCCCACATGGCACTCAGAGCTGGCCGCGAGCCAAGACCTTGAAGCCAGGAGGGGAGAGCCACACCCCAAGGCCCATGTGTCTGGTTTTATTTATTTATTTATATTTATTTATTTATTTATTTATTTATACAAGTACTGGGTACAGTCAGAAGCGCCGGAGAGTGAGAGAATTCACCAGAGCCAGAGCAGGGAGGCAGGGAGCAAAACAGTCAGAAGGACCGAAGTACACTGCTGAGGGGAGCAGCGGGCGGCAGGAGAGGTCTGCGCGCCATGTGGGACCCTCGCCTGGGGGCCGGGGATCGAACCGGCGCTGAAGAGGCTGCGGGCAGCTTCACAGCCCAGCACTCAACCGCTGCGCCACCAGGCAGGCCCCCATGTGTCTGGTTTTATACCCAACCTGGCTGCTTAACCCCATCCTCAGGTCCCAGCCACTTTCCCTTTGGTGGTGACGGGATTTGTCTTTCCCAATGTCCTGATGGCTTTGGTCTGGAGTGGGGGTGGCATCCACAAAGCCTGTATGGGATTAGCTCAGGACATCCTTTCCCCCTAACAGCACTTTGACGGTTTAAACTTAGAGTGCCTTTGAATGCACCTGTTTCAGGAAGCTGAGCGCACTGTGGACATCTTTTCTGAGTCAGAATGTTGCCAGAAGGCCTCGGTCCTGCACCCAGGCACCTGGGCTGGCTCCCAGCGCACATGAGGGTCCCCATACTTGGCCCAATGCTCTGTGCACACAGTCCTGACATTCTCAATAGTGCTGAACAGGGGCCTTGCCTTTTCCTTGGCTCTGGGCCCTGGAGTTCTGTAGCTGGTCCTGCAAGCACCTGCTTCTCCAGTGCCTGTCCAGGCTGGCTTTCTTTGACGTGTCTCCCTCCTCCCTTATGACTTCATGGTCCATCTCTGCCATTTCCTGCTTACTTACTCAGTCCACAGGAGACACTCTTGCTTTGTCTTAGTCCTCTTGTCTACAGAGGGAGAGGGAGGAGAAGATTTTGGGATGAAAAAATTAAAAAATCACTATGTAAGTGAACTGAAAAGCCTCATGGGTAAAGGAGGGTGAGATTTTGTGTTTTCTTAGCTTTTAGTTTTTCCTTTGAGTTAGTCTAAACAAATGAATATATGGGGGCCTCCCTGGTGGTACAAGGGGTTAAGACGCAACCTATGAAGCTACCCACAGCCACTGCAGCACGAGTTTGATCCCCAGCCAGGGAACAACACACACGGCACAGCAGACCTCTCCTGACTCACCCGCTGCTCCCCTCAGCAGTGTATTTCAGTCAGTCTGCCTGTCCTATTCCCTGCTCTGTCTCTGGTGAATCTTCTCACCCCCCACACCTCTGGCCTGTACCTCAGTTCTTGTATGTATAAATAAATAAATCGTTTAAAAAAAAAAGAAATGTATATGACCGTGGTGACAGTGGATTCCTGTTTTTTTTTTTTTTTTAATGAAATGTAATAGCAGTGCTTCCATTTTTGCCCAGGAGGAAGGGAATGTTCATCAAGTGGGGAGTCGGGGGGAGATCCTGTCTATTTATCTTGGAATAAAGAAGTAATCTGTGGACTGATTCAATTCCCAGGCCTTAAACCATTCCAAATTCATCAGAGGGTCAGGCAGCTCTGTGCCTCTCCTTTGGCAAAGTAGGAAGCTAGAATGATTTTGTCAAGTGCATTTCTATTGAGCCCAAGTGGCCCCGAGAAGGGGGCTGGCGGGGGGACAGGAGCTGTTGTTCCCACCTGGAATTATTGCCATAGAATCCCACATCTTAGTAAGTTGTACCCTGTGTAATGGAAACCATGTTTGTCACAACAAGCAGTGCCTTCCCTCCCCTCTGCAAGCTGAGAGGGGTCAAGTAATTTGTCCAGTGTCCCAAAGCTTGTTGTTAGAGCTGGGACCTCAACAAGGGCTGTGGACTCTGCAGATGCAAGTTTCTTTCCCTGTGCCTTTGCCCTGTGCTTTTGTCTTTTTTTTTCTTTTTTTCTTTCTTTTTTATAAACCTCACCAGGGCTGTGCAGGATATAACAACAGCAAAATCAAGATAAAAAGGCCTTCCCGAGAACTTTCCAAGGAGAAAGGAGATCATTGCTAAAGGCAAACCAGAAGAAAGTTGGGAAAATGCACCGCTAAAAGGCCTAGGAGAGGCACAGCTGGTGCAGGTGGTACTTAAAGAAGGTGAATCTAATCTTGAATCAGGGCATGAAGAAGCAAGTCTCCCCTGCCCAGAAGGGGCTCTAGAGGACATGCCAGATGGAGAACAGGTAAGTAAAGCCTTCAGGACACTATGCAAGATGGTGGAACAGAGAGTGAGAAGTCCCAAAGAACTGGACCCCCCAACTAATCTCTATAATAATGGGTGGTGCGTGCATGTCTCTGGAGATGTCAGTTATGTGGACCCTGGATTCTGCTCCCCACTCCTCCTGGGCAGAGGTGGAGTGGTTATTTCCATCGAGGATGACTCTGTGCATCCTGGCAGCCATGTGGTGCCCTCCCCTGAGCAGCCCCAGCTGCCTTTGAAGAATGAATAGGGGAATCTCCGGGGGAGAGAAGACAGACACCTCAGTTCTTGTCTCCTTGCAGACAAAGAAAATGAGATAAATGCCGAAGAGCATAACGTCCCTGGGGAGAAAGACAAAGGCCAGAGTGAGGATGAGGGGGTCTGGCAGACCCTATTCTGCGGTCACATCTGGTCCAGAGGGACTGTCTACACCCCAATCTCAAAGGCAGGATGGATCCGAGGGGCATGGGGCTGGGAGCTACAGCTTGCTGGAGGGAAGCCCTCCTAGCACTTTGGTCTATGGGAAGGTGGAAATAGTAGAATCCATTGAGAAGCTTTCAGTGGAGAGCATTAGGACATACAAAGAAACTGTGATAGTTGTAGAGACCACAATTGGAAAGTCAGAGGCAAAAAAGAAAAAATTGGGAGAGAAGAGCTCTTAAAATACCTAGGCTCAATGGCAAAGTAGAACCACTTTGGGGGAAATGCTTTGATATTTATTTATTTTTTTAAGATTTATTTATTTATGCATACAAGAACTGGGCTATAGTCCAGAGGTGTGGGGGCGAGAGGATTCACCAGGATAAGAGTGGGGAGCAGAACAGATAGACTGACTGAAATACACTGCTGAAGGGAGCAGTGGGCAAGACAGGAAAGGCCTGCTGCACCATGTGGGTCGCTCCCTGGCTGCCTGGGGATTGAACTTGTGCTGCAGAGGCTGTGGACAGCTTCAGAGTGCTGTGCTTAACCCCTTGCTCCACCAGGGAGGTCCATGCTTTGATATTTGAAAACAAATGATAAAGAGTTTGGATTAGACTATAGTCGACCCATCTGACATTGCCAATCAAGACTTAATTAAAATGTTTTTTCTTTTGCTTGCATATCTTTTGTCTAATTAACAGGGGCCTTTGGAATACAGGTGGGCAACTCATGCCCAGAACAGGATGCTCTGCCAAGCCATACTCATTTAGGAAAGACATGCCTTTCTTCTTGGTGCATTGGGAGACTCAGGAGAGACTCAGAGGTTTTCTGGCTTTCACACAGAAAATGCTGGTTGATAGCACTGGCTCATTTTCATTCTATTTCCAGCATAAGCACATGCTTATGTGAAGGAGTGTTTCATTAGAGACAAAATGATTGAAGACATTGGTTTGGGTTTCATCCAGAAAATGATCTTGAAGCAAAGATTTAAATGTATAATTGACCCTTGAAAAGTGAGGGGATTAGAGGGGCCAATTCCCATGAAGTTCAAAATCTGTATCTAAATTTTCACTCCCCTTTATTTAACTGTAGTCATCCCTTGGCCTCCACAGGGGGTTGTTTTCAGGGTCCCTGTGGATACCAAAATCTACGGATGCTCAAGCCCTAATAGTTGGCCCTGTATATCCATGCTTTCTACATCCGCACAGTTGGTTGAATACATTAATGCGGAACCCATGGCTATGCAGGGTCAACTATATTTATTGAAAAAAAATTCTGACTATAAATGGTCCTGGGTAGTTAAGAACTGATGTAATTCAAGAATCAATGTAGTTCCTTGGGGGTGTGATCCCAGGAAGTTTCAGTAGGGGGAGGATGCAGAGGAAGAGAGGGCGCAAAGCAGGTAATAATGGGCACCAACCATAGCAACAGGGTGGACCCCTGGTGCTTAATGCCCCTGGGGTTTTGGGGAGAGTAGAATAGTTGCAGAGTTACCCAGCCAAGGGTGAAGGGGACTCCAATCAGTTAGTGGAGAGGGCTGCTCCCAGACCATTGACTTCGGAGGCCAAGTAAGTGTCAGACAAAGAAGCACAGGTCCTGACATTTGGATGTCAGGCATGGAAAAGAATGGAGGACCTCCCTGGTGGCACAGCGGTTAAAGATAGCACTATCAGGCCTCCCTGGTGGTGCAAAGGGTTATGATGCAACCTATGAAGCTATCCGCAGCCACTTTAGCACAAGTTTGATCACCGCCAGGGAGCTACCCACATGGCACAGCAGACCTCTCCTGCCTCGCCCATTGCTCCCCTCAGCAGTGTATTTCATCAGTCTGCCTGTTCTGCTCCCCACTCTGTCTCTGGTGTATCCTCTCATCCCCTGAACCTCTGGCCTGTACCCTAGCTCTTGTATGCATAAATAAATCTTAAAAAAAAAAAAAGACAGCACTATCAAGTTGTTACCAGCCACTGTAGCATGAGTTCGATCCTGGCCAGGGAGCTACCCACATGGCACAGCTAACCTCTCCTGCCTTGCCTGCTGCTCCCCTCAGAGGGTCTGCCTGTTCTGCTCCCCACTCTGGTGAATCCTCTCATCCCTCCACCTCTGGCTTACACCGCAGTTCTTGTATGCATAAATAAATAAATCTTAAAAAAAAAAAAGAAAAGCATGGAAATGGTAAGGATCATAGAAACAAAGGCAGGGCACTATAGTTTTCTGCCACAGCAAATATACCTAATGTGCTTTCGTCTGAGTTACTTAAAATTTTTTCATTCCAAGCTTGCAATCCTAGGTTAGGTTTCAAGAAGCAATAGTTCCTGTCTTAGAGTTTATTAACTAGTCTAATTAAGTCTTTATGGAACATATACTATCTACTAGACCATGTGCTATGCTGATAAAATATTTTTCCGATTTATTAATCATCTCAATGGCCGTGATATCATACACTGTAATTCCCATGTATGCATGCATTCTTGTGAGTACATGTGTGCACACACACATGCACATGTGCACACAGGTACTTACTGTGTCACATCCTAGAAAATAGGAATTCAAGTAAGAATCTTTACAAAAATTTTATGTTGACTTCAGGCATCTATTTTTCTACTAACAGTCCAAAAATTATGTTTTACTTATACCAATTAAGAAATGACTCCTTCCTCATGTAGATGTTCCAAAAGACATTGAGTAAAAGTACTTAAATGGATTATTGTTTCTGCCAAACAAAAGCATCTGGAAAATGTCTACACATTATTGGACAAAATTGACAGTCATAAATTAAAGTCTATTATTTTTTGTTATGAATAATAGAAAGACTACTCAAAGGAGTCATCTTTCCTTTTGAGAGCTTTTAAAAATCTTGCTCTGAATTCATTTGAGGTTTTGACTTCAAGAAAGAAATATGCTGTTGTTCTTTTTAAAAGATGAACGGAGAACCCACTCCATTACACAGTTTTGAAATATTTATAATTTAAAAGCTTAAGAGAGAATGATGGATACCATTAACTGGAACCCAGGATGTATTAGGAATTTGGGTTGGTATGTATATTATACTCAACATAACTCTCACTGTAAACCTTCTCTTTTCCCCACTAAATCTTTTTTAGTTTTTGCACTCTGTATTTAGTTATTTAAAAAGGCAGAGGGTATCTTTTTGGAAAGGAAGGTCATTTTTATATTATGAAATCAATCGTCAAAAATGAATTAAGGGGATATTCTGTGCCAAGCATGGTTCTGGGTACTGGGGACACAGCACAGAACAATCAGATGTGGTCCTGCCATCAGAGAAGGCATTCTGGCAGAGGAAGAGAGGAATACCCAAGCAAGTCGATCAGTAAATAAAAGAAAATTAGAGAAAACACTTGAAGGAAGCCAAAGAGGGTGATATGCTAGAGTGACTGAAGGTCTGCTTTGTTTTGGGTGATCAAGTGGAATCCCAATGCATGGAGTGATATGTGAGTTAGAGGACAGCGTGGGCCGAATCTGAGGGAAAAGCATCAGGTAAAAGGCACTGCAGTCCCAGAGGCCCTGGGCCGGAATGGACTTATCCTCTATTTTTTTAAAAATTTATTTATGCATACAAGAACTGGGGTATAGGCCAGAGGTGCGGGGGAAGGAAGGGTGGGTGGTGGTAGTGGTGAGAAGATTTACCGGAGACAGAGTGGGGAACAGAACAGGCAAACTGACTGAAAAACTCTGCCGAGGGGAGCAGTGGGTGAGACAGGAGAGATCTGCTGCACCATGTGGGTCAGCCTCCTGGCAGGGGATCGTATGCCTGACAGTGCTGAGACTTCAACACTTCCCTGTGCCACCAGGGAAGACCAATGGACATCCTCTTTAAGGAGGAAAAATAAAGGGGACTGGAGTAGACAATGGAAGGAGGTGAGGTCAAGGAGGGAGGTAGGGGTCAGGTGAACACCTTCTCCTGGCAGGCTTACCTCTACCTGTTCAATGTGGAGCTGTCACCAATGCACATATTGGGGCAATAAGGTTCCTTGTTCCCCCATGATGCCAGGGATTCGCTCCACTTGCTTGTTGCCTTGACTGATGCTACTGTACTTTCTTGGTTCTGTTTCCTCCAGAAGAGCTGCAAAATGGGTTCATTTCCTAGCTTTTCCTCTCCTGAGGTCCCTGAAAACAAGCATTTCCCCCCAACCCTGAGCCTGAGGGTCCCCACGCCTGCTGGTCAGGCCCCAGAAGCCAAGCATGTTTTTTATATAAAAAGTACTTCTCGTTGGGACTCAGAGCAGGCCTCACAGTAGCATCAATTACAAGAGGATGCCAGAATGTGGACAAGCCCAGGGACTCCTGAAGTACAGTGCTGTGGGTGCCTGGGCCTGTTACCCTACAGAGTTCCAGCTTTTTCTTTCCCAACTAATCCTAAAATCCAGGACTGAGACTCCCTGAAACTGCCACCCTGCGAGGAATCTGTATCCCAGCACCCTGCCCTCCCATTCTTCAAGCAGTTGAGTCAATTATCAGTAAGTGGAGTAGTATCAGCTGCCCTGGGTGCTGAGCCTTGCAGACTGCCCCACCCCAGCCCTTTTCTTATTCACGACTATACTCCATGGCCTCACCGGGAGCACAGTGACTTCTGCCTGAGGGGCTCCTATGGCCACTGGAGCCTGCTGGGTCCACACCCGTGGTGGATTGGGAATGCTGGGGCCTTTATGACCCTAAGAGCAGCCTTCAGCCAGGAGGGACAGGACCTGGTAGATAAACAGCCTATCTCTCTTGCTCGTCTGCTGGGCTAACTCTGAGGCATGCTGTGCACAGTCCCTGTGGATCTGAGCCCACGATGCCCATGAAGAAACCCACTCATCTGTGTGTCCTGAAGTGGCGTCCTTCCTTCCCTGGCCTGCTTTTCTGCTCCCCCATGTGTAAATGCTTCCTTCCAATTAGAAGATTTAACTAGAACTCCTCGTCTCAGAGTTGGCCTATGGGAGGGCCAGCCTAGCGTGGCTGCTTGGCATCTGCCCAGTGGTACCTCTCAATCTGCGAGTGACGCCCCTGGCTTCATGCTGAGGATCTACTTCCACACGGGATAGTACTGCTTAAACTTCCTCTGGCTGTGGGGTTGTGCTGTGGGGTTGTAACAGGGTGGTCCCCAGGAAAGGGGGAGGTTCCAGTTTCCCTGCCCCACCCAAATAGAGGGTGGAGCTGAGCAGGGAGAGAGGAAGCTGCAGAGGAGACTGAAGAAGGAAGTAAGCAGGATGGAGAGCCAGGAGGAGACCTGGAGGAGGCACAT